GTGACGTAGACATGTGGGGGCGTGTTAGAACGAGGCGTTTTAGGTAGGTGTGGTTGACTCTGAACTTTTATAAAGAATATCTCTTTGGATTTGAGACTTTAGTCTTTGCAACTTTACAGATCTTCTTTATGCACCAAGAGCTTGTAACACTCCAAAGAGAAAGAAAATTTAAAATCGCATCATATGACCCCTTTAAAGGGGTAATATACTGCTGGGTGTTTAATAAAAGTTGCCTGTCTATGCAGTAGAAATGCTATTTTTTTTAATCAGTGCTACATGACTAGAGAAAAGAGCTGTGGTGAAAAAAAGTAGGTAAACTTAAACACCCACAATGCACCTGACAAAGGCAGAAGTTGTGTAGTTAAAAAAAACAAACAAAAAAAGCCCTGGAGCTGTCAAAAGTCTACCGAATCTGGTGAACTTTTGCTGACAAAATTAGGATATCTTGGTGCAGGTAACATGGAAAAATACACAATGTTCATTTACTTTATACTGTCGACGCTGTAACAATGCAAAGCTGGTTGAAAATCAGCAAACTTACCATTTAAGATGCTCAGAAAATGTTATAAAATAAAATACTATGAACAAATATATACAATTAAAAACAGAATAAATGATAATCAACCAATCAAAAAAAAAAACGTTTACATCAACAATTGTGCACTTCCACTTGCTGAGCCTAGTTGGGCACAAATTACACACTTGGGTTATTAAGCAGAAGCGTGATTACTTGGATTTTTACACGTTTAAGTAATGGACCCGTGATAGCACGGGTAAGCATTGTTAACGGAGGTATTTACCTTCATTTGCCCCTTTTCTCAACTGTTTGTAGTTGGACGCCTGCTGCACCAGGTCCAGAATGGTTTTGGAGAGCGTGGCGTCTGCCAGAGGATAGGCTTTCGGATTCACTTCAGCTTCAGTCTGTGTTAAGATGACAGAGCAAAGCGTTATCAGCACTCAACTCCAGAAAGTTAACCAAACGACACTGATTATCTGCGTAATGTCTGATAACACGGTATTCTGATCTACAACTGAAATGCTTTTAAACACATCAAAAACATATTCAAATAAGGTTCAATGTATAAACACTTTTATCATTTCGGCAGGCAAAATTCAAATAGCTACACGCTGAATGTCGTGAAGCAACACCCTAAACTAGTAAAGAACCCCACACGTGATACTCACCATTGTGTTTGATATGTTTTAATCAGTGACTAACGTAACTTATAAACACACAGGTCCTCTCGGCAAGAGCTTCACGGAGGACAGTACTATTTAACTAAACAGAAACACGTCTAGAGTTTAGCAAATAAACAAAAGAAATAACTCTAATGACCAGCGAAGCTCTAGGATCTTCAGCACTCCGGCGACTCACAACACGTGTTTGTGATCGGCACACTGCGCATGCTCTCATTTAACCCACTTCCGGCAGTCTTTTTTAAAAATCTTTATTAAACATAATTACATTTGATCTTAAAGACATTCCTTATATAATGTTAAATATTATGAAGAATATTTAAAAAATGTATAGAATAAACTACTCCCCCATCTCGAATTCAGCACTGGTTTCGAAAAAAAAACGATGTTTCGTTGCAATTTACGTTAGTTGCTCTCGTGACCCATGAACTGTAATGGTTTTAACTGATCTCGAGTCACAGCACCCCGGCGACTCACAACACGTGTTTGTGATCGGCATACTGCGCATGCTCTCATTTAACCCACTTCCGGCAGTCTTTTTTTTAAATCTTTATTAAACATAATTACATTTGATCTTAAAGACATTCCTTATATAATGTTAAATATTATGAAGAATATTTAAAAAATGTATAGAATAAACTACTCCCCCATCTCGAATTCAGCACTGGTTTCGAAAAAAAAACGATGTTTCGTTGCAATTTACGTTAGTTGCTCTCGTGACCCATGAACTGTAATGGTTTTAACTGATCTCGAGTCAGTTATAACGTAGATTAATATTTAATTAACTTTAATAAACATGATATAATGAAAAGTGAGATCTAGAGTTAAGATCCTATGAAGAACCAATACTGTCTAAACATAAAACAAGCTGCAAATAATAAAATAACAAAAATGAAACTGATACTTCGTATCAAATGGTAACGGTTTATAGACAGTGTTGGGGAGTAACTATGTAACGGCGTTACGTAATTTAATTACAAAATAGATATGTAACTAATCCATTACAGTTACTGAGAACAAAATGCGTAATTAAATTACAGTTACTTATGAAAATGTTACATTTACATAAGTAATCCCCTTTGTAATCATTTACTCAATGATTACAAAGGG